TTAATACATAAATATAATATATTAAAAATAATATTTATTAATATATAATAATTCAATAAAAAAGAAATTAAAAAAAATATTTAAAATAAATTAATAATGCAAGAATGAAAGATGCATAGTTCGGGACACAATTGTCTTTCCAGCCTATTCAACCAGAAATATATGGTTTTGGAGCTTTCTAGGAAAGACATATTTTATCGGGAAAGACCCATATTTTTGTGCATATCAAACAGTCTTTCCGGTTCATTCAGCCAGAAAGATCTGTTTAGACCTGAAAAGATGTCTATCAAACGGGACCTAAGCCTAACATAATATACAGGTGTGGTCTAAGAGTTTGAGTTTGAGGGGAATGTGGGATGTTAGCATATATTGTATGTTAGCCTTTTTATATTGGACTTTTATTTAGTTTTCTAGATATGTTAAGTTGTTAACCATGACGTCTTTTTTATTTATAGTAATGTTTCCCCATTCATTGTATTTACTCTTTTCTTTAATGACAAACTCTAGCTGTCTTTGCTTGTTTGGCTCTGGATCTTCATGCTAATCTCTCTAAATTTTCTCTAGCTTCACAGTTCACACCAAGTGTTTCGCACCTTTTACAAACCCATGTTTGTACACTATTGAGTATTTGATCGGGTTTTTGTACTAGCTAGGCCCGCATACAAGTTGTAAACAAAATACATAATCAATACTTTATTTAAATACAAATAGACTTGGCTCTTAAATAAAGCATATTACAAAAACAGAGCTTTTTGAATCAACGTCTTCCTAGCAAGTATTATAACACTTACTATTACCATTACTTATAATTCCACTTACATTGTAATTTGTTAAAACAAACTCCCCAAACGTTTTGCCTTCTCCCTCAACACAAACTTCTGCACCTTTCCAGTCGAATTTCTTGGCAAATCATCAAAAACAACACTTCGAGGTGCCATATAATGTGGCATTCGATCTCTACAATACTCAATAATTTCATCACCATCAACATCAACACCCTCCTTCAACTTCACAAATGCACATGGAGTTTCACCCCAATGATCATCAGGCCGTGCAACAACCGCCACCTCCAAAACTCCCGGATGGCTGTAAATTACCGTTTCGACCTCGATGGTGCATATATTTTCACCACCCGATATTATAACATCTTTAGACCTATCCTTCACTTCTATATATCCATCTGAATGTTTGACTGCAAGATCACCACTTCTAAACCAACCTCCTTTAAAAGCCTCTTTTGTTGCTTTTAAATCTTTAAAGTATCCACTCATGACTATATTCCCTCTAAACATAACCTCCCCTAACGATTTCCCATCACATTTTACACTCTCCATTGTTACAGGATCTTTTACATCGACTTCCTCCATCACAAAAGCTTTCACTCCTTGTCGTGCTTTAAGCTTCAGTTGTTCTTCAAGATTCAACTTTTCCCACTCGGGTTTCCATAAACATGAAGTTCCTGGACCATACGTTTCAGTGAGACCGTAAATATGAGATACACGAAACCCTAGCCCCTCTATCTTGGAAATGATTGTCGGTGGTGGAGATGCGCCGCCTGTCAGAATCTTGACTTTATGTGGAAGTGGTTTTCTGTCAGTCGCCGGAGAATTCACAAGCATGTTTAATACAGTTGGAGCTCCGTCCATGTGTGTGACGTTGTGAAGCACTATATTGTTGAATATATCTTTAGGGTCACAACGTCGGAGGCAAATGTTGGTGCCGCCGACCACCGCTACCCCCCACGAGAAGCACCACCCGTTGCAGTGAAACATAGGCAACGTCCAAAGGTAAACAGGCCTCTCTTGCATATCTCGCAAGAACACCGACGCAAGGGAGCCAAGATAAGCCCCTCGGTGGCTAAAAACTACTCCTTTCGGCTGTGAAGTTGTCCCGGAGGTGTAGTTTAAACTGATGGGATCAAATTCGTCATTTGGTCGGATTATAGAGAATTCAGTCACTCCACTCTCCACAAGGCTCTCGTATTCGTATTTTCCGGTATTAGTCAACGGTGATCGGGAGTCGGGTTCGGATATTACGACAACGAGAGGGGGTTTTGAGTGTGTGTTCTTGAGAAGATTGACAGCTTCTTCTGCTATATCCAATAATTGGGTGTCGACGAAGAGGATCTTGGCTTCCGAGTGTTGTAGCAGAGTTGAAATCATATTTGGATCTTGACGTGTGTTGAGATTGCAAATGATGGCTCCAGCCATGGGAACTGCGAAATGAAGCTCTATCATTGCCGGAACATTTGGCGCTAGTGTCGCTACCTGCATTAATCCGTAATTTTAGCTTCAGTAAATGATTTCTAGCTTCTGTTACTTATAATCAACGTGCAGAAAAGAAAAACTTACAACGTCGCCACGAGAAACACCTAAATGTTTAAGAACAGATGCAAGCTTGACGCATCTATGGTGCGTTTCTTTCCATGTGTAGCTGATGCACCCATAAACGATGGAAGTCCGGTCTCTGTAAACATCGGCTGCTCGCTCCAAGAAGCTAATGGGTGATAAAGGAACGTAATTTGCTGAGCAACGGACCACGCCCTCCGGCGATCGCCATGAATATGATTTTCCATGTAATTCGTCCCCAGATTCCGACGAGCTCTCGCATCGGACCTTGCAAGAACGGTTTGCGGTGGTGGTGGAAACTGGGCGGAGCCTGGTGTTTGACTTCTTCACGATTGTAGACGTGCAAAAGGAGTACTGTTTGCGGTTGCCAATTTATTAGCCAGTTTCTATACAACGAAATTATGTAATAATGAAGACAAAGTTTTTATATCTCGTATAATCATGACGACAAATTTTAATCGAAAAGGCGAAGCTAGGACACACATACATTTCAAATATAGAAGTGGCTTAATTTGAATACAAGATACCTTGTTTTGATAAGAAAAAAAGCCCTTGTCGTCTAAGGCTCTGAGATTCATCCCTGCAGGATCTGATTAATCATCATACTATTAAATCAGATGCAACAATATATGCAAAAGAAACTTAGATCTTACCTTATAATGTACGCTTATTATTAACTATCAAACTTTATACAACACATATTTAATAGTCTAGAAGAACTATATATATATATATATGGAAAAGTTCAATAGAGAACCATAATTATTGGTTCTTCAAGGAACCAAATCTTTTTTTCAATTTCCAGAACTTATTCTTTATCGAAAAAAAAATCTAAAAATATCTAAATTCATATATTAACATTGTGAATGTAAAAAATATTTTTCGGATTCACATTGTGAATTTTCAAAGATTCACATTGTGAATTTGACGTAAAAAAAAATTCGAATTTGATATCATTGGGAAAAGGATAGAAAGTTATGAATTTCTATATTTTTAGTTTTTTTTTGATAAAAAATAAGTTCTAAAAGTTGAAAAAAAGATTGGTTCATTGGTTAATTATG